AAACGAATGAAAGTACTACATAATTTCACAGTTTACATTTTACAATTTATTTAGGATAGTAGGCTATATGCCTGTGTTAATCCTTTCGATTTATTGCATACAGGAGGTCCAATCTCGCCTTGAATGAATCAACGGATGGCGCTGATACGACGTGTTCCGGTAGGGAGTTCCAATGGTTCACAATTCGATGCGAAAAACGGATTTCCAGACGCAGACGATTCGACCGTGGTTTTTGAACCTTGAGGTGATGTCCTCGCAATTGGTTGGTGCTAGAAGGAAGAAATAATTTAGATAAATTAGCTCCAAAATCATTTCTTAGGATACGGTATGCTAGTATTAGGTCACCCCTAAGTCGTCTGTATGACAGTGGAAATAAACCCAGTCGACTTAACCTCTCCTCATATGACAGGGTTGAGAAACCCTTTATTAGCTTAGTTCCTACTCTTTGCACCCTTTCTAATAAGTCTATTTCGTATTTGAAACACGGGCTCGCTGCCTGGATCCCATATTCCAAATGAGGTCTGATATAAGTCGGATATAATATACGAAATATATCAGCGTCAAAGTTCGCAAAAGCCTTGCGTATGGCCCATAACATTCGAAAACCCTTAGTGGCTGCAGTTCTACAGTTTGTTGCTGTTTTCAAGTCATGCTGCACAACCACTCCCAAGTCCTTGTACTCAGTGACCACTGGGAGAGTAATGCCATTCATTGAGTAATTGTGCACGTGACTATGGGATACATGCATAACTACACTCTTGCTTAAGTTAATCTCCAAGGCCCAGTGCTTACACCAATCACTTAACAAGTTTAAATCTTCCTGCAAAGCAAGTTGATCACTGTCATCGTGCAAAGCCCTCCATATCTTGATGTCATCAGCAAACAGTAAGCAGGATGACTTAACTACCGATGGAATCTCATTAACATAAATCAGGAAAAGAAGTGGGCCTAGAATTGTACCCTGAGGAACGCCACTCTTAACCGATTCCCATGTTGATAAAACCCCGTTAACTCGTACTCTTTGTCTTCTGTCCTTTAGAAAGTCTTGAATCCAGTCGGTAACCACTTTATTGATTCCCAGACTACCTAACTTTACTAGAAGACCTGAATGAGAAACCCTGTCAAACGCCTTGCTAAGGTCTATGAATATGGCATCCACCGGTATATTAGCATCAGCTGAGCTTGCCCAACTTTCTCTGGCCAAAAGAAGGTTGGTCAAGCAAGAATGACCTGCTCTAAAACCGTGCTGTTCCACAGCGAAAAGTTTGTTCCCTTCAATGAACTGAATGATAGCATCACGAATTATTCTTTCTAGTAGTTTAACAACAATACTGGTCAAACTAACAGGACGATAGTTCTGAACTAAGTTTCTAGATCCGGTTTTGAAGACCGGACTAATGATGGCATCTTTCCAGTCTCTTGGACATTTAGACTGGTCCAGAGACATATTGAAGATTACCGACAATGGCTCGGCTATGCTTTCAGCCAATGCTGTTAATATACGTGGGTGGAGTTCATCAGGGCCACTGGACTTACCAGGATTGAGCCTTAGAAGCCACTTTAGGACAGTATCCTTTCCAATGTATAAGGGTGCCATTTTCAAGTTACCTTCTGGAAAATTTACAAAGCTGGTATCAATATTATCAGAGAATACTTGACTAAAGTGCTTGGACAAAGCCTCAGCCTTGGTCAAGTTATCCTCAGCCATGTTTGTCTGGTCATCTTCAAGCATAAGAGGTGGGATAGCATCACTCTTACGTGTTCTTCTCTTGATATATGAGAAGAGTCTTTTTGGGCAGCCTGGTGAACTTTTAACTAACTGGGTTTCGTAAGCTATCCTTGACTGGTGGATCAAAGTTTTACACTGGTTTCTGGTTTCACAGTATTTCAGCCGGAACTGCTGTAGCCCAGTAGAAACAAAGAGATTCCAGAACCTTTTTCTCCGTCTCAGGAGTGTTATAGCTTGTCTATTTATCCATGGTGGCCGATTTGTTGGCCTTTTAGGAACCCTCCAGGGGATGAGATCAGTGGTAACCCTCTCAAGTGTATTCTTAAATCTATCCCATTCATCTTCAATGGATGAGACAATGTTGACTGACCAGTCGGCAGTTGAAGCACGCTCCTTTATAGCCACTATGTCAGCATGCCAAACACTAGGCCGGGATTTGGGTTGAAAACTGACTAAATTGCCAGCCCTTAAGTTAAAATCTAACACCCCATGATCACTGTTTGCTAGAGGTGGATGAATAACTAGACCATCCACGTCGTCGTTGTCATGAGTAAGCACTAAGTCCAGCAAGGAAGATCCTTGGGTAGAACCGAATCTTGTACTACCTAAGACATGTTGTGTCAGGGCATTTTCCATGGTTGTCAAGAGTAACCGGCTGTCAAACTTATCAGCGGATCCTGGAGATGTGACAGCTACCCAGTCTATATGAGGTGCATTAAAATCACCTAGAATAAGACAGCTACTGTGTTTACTCCATTGTTTGAGGTGATCTAAAATGAAGTCATCACACTGACAATAGGGACTTCTATACAGAACTCCAATGAGTAGAGTGCCGGTTGCAAAGCTTACTTCACAGCTAATTACCTCACCTGTCCCACTGTCATGAGCTTCAGATTTCACGGAACGAACATGTAGGGAGTTGTTGATGTACAGAGCAACCCCGCCACCTCTACGACCCTTAACTCTGTCGCTGCGCAAGCAACTAAATCCGCATAGCTCAGGTGTGTCATCTAATCCCGAAACCAGCCATGTTTCAGTAATGGCCACAATACCTGGGCTAAGGTCTTCTACTAATACACCTAGCTCGTGAAATTTGTTCCCGATACTACGTATATTAGTGTACACTACCTTCAGGCTTCCTATGCGGTCTGGCCTATCCACACAGGTCTTGGAAGCATACGTTTCCAAGACCTGACTATTTGAAAACCCACCAGTTTAAGGTTAGTCTCACCATTTTTGCGTCTTGTTTCTAGCTGGGACAAAACTTCTTTTCGTTTAAGTCTGTCTTCAAGAGATAAATCAGGTCTGGCTGAAATTCCTGACCCGGCAAGGTTGTGTACATTAGCCAGTAGATGATTCCGTTCATCAGGAGAACCTAAGACTACTTTAAGCAACCTACGCTGATTAGAACATTCATCATCTCTTTTGCCTATTCTAATCAGCTTTTTAATCGATACTCCAGGGAAATTCGCTGGGAGCATCTTCCTTATAATACTACTCACTAATTTAAGGTCGTGATCGTGCCTTTTCACGGGATCAGATTCTTTGGACTCTTCCAAATTTCCAACAATTATGTTAGAGTCTAAGGAGAGCTTGTCGTATTTAGCAGTGGCTACGTCCTTTCTCACCACTATTGATGCAGCCTGGCTACAGGTGACAGACGTTTGCCTACCATCAATATTACTATATTTCTTCCGACTGCTTATTTTTGTTACCCATTTATCATCTGCCTGCAGTTGCTTCTCAGGGCTGCTGCAGTTTTTGATGGTACAATCAAGATCAGTGTCTGCACCACCTTCATGGTGAACTTCGCTTACGGTGTTCTCTGGTTCTGAGGTGCTGTTTACAGCTTCCGTTTTGTTACCTTTTCGCTTACTAAGACGCTTCGAACGCCTAGTAGGTTTTACTTCCGGGGTAACTGGGATAGTAACCGCCGGTGTGATAACATTCATGATGGCACTTACTGCTTCATCTTCAGACGGGCAGTCCGTGTCACTCTTACTAGCCACGCTATCATCAGGAAGTTCCATGGCTTTAGACAGCAGTTCGTGAGCCTCCCTTATTAAGGTCATCTTTGGAGAGCAACACATTCTGCACATCCAGTGGGATGTTGGAGCAGTACAGCGTTTGTATGCAGCTGGACGTAATCCAGTACACATCTTATGATACCACTTTTCACAGTTATTACACTGTATTCCATCATCTACCAAAAAGTAACACTCCGCCCTATTACATTTATGTGGTACTTTTGACATGATGAATTTCTACTGGAAACAGCCAAGACAATTTACCCAATATAGACTATATAAGTGGTTAAAATCAAAACTTAACAGACAAAAGTCAAGTTAAAGTTTTTTTTAAATGTTCTTGAAGTGAATAACACAACAAAACAGCGATTTGTCAAAAACGTGAAATACGTGAAAAAAGCACTCCCTTTCAAACAGCGCGCGCAAATATAATCTATATAAACATTTGTTTATAGAATTCTACTGTTCTCCGATTAAATTGACGAAAAATAAAACTTCCTTCTTACAAAACTGGTGTTTTGGAGTTAAAGACGATCAGTCCGGAGGGTCTTCATAAAAATAGGAACATAGGTATAAGTTCCTTGACACTTGCCTCAGAAAAGATGCAGTTTCGCCATAGTCTCACCGAAACTGTCGCTGTAGTGAGACATGAATGACGCTTCCTAACCAGGAATGCACACTAGATCACTGAGATATGCGATCCCAATCGTCAATTCAAAGTAGTAACTGCCGGCCGGTTATGTGACGGGAGAAATTAGCCAATGTCTTTCAGACACATGGGATTCAAGGGGAATATACATACATATTTCTCAACTAGAACTGACGTAACAATTAGACAGCATTATAGTAAGCGACCAGTAAGATCACAAGAAATTCATCCACCTGGAATCATTAAAAATATCCGACTACTATTGCACAATTCTGAAGAATTGTTATGGTAGTGGAAAGCAAATTGAGCACAGGTCGTGCTCTTTTCTACTTGTATGCAGCTTTGAGACTCAGGAAGTTAGTGACAAGTTTATATTGACGCTGAAAACAAAGTGTAACAGCTCGAAAGGTTATACTGAGATCAAAAGAATATCTTGGGGAGTTCCAAGACAATGCGGAATGAGCGGCATAAGATCACAAATTTTGTACGAGTAAATCACAAAGTTTCCTGTTATTTGTTCAGTTCAACTCGGTATTCACGCTTATCGAAACAGATATGTACTTCCAAGATGAATCTATGCACCTGAAATAGTGGATTCAATTTCGTTACGCTCTTTGTTTTAATGGATGGATGCACACTGAATTGTAAACGCGGGACAGACGATAGTGTTTTCAGATGGTGGGTTTTTCATATTTTTTTAGTAGCTCTCTTATGCTTTTTTGGGTCTCGTAACAGCTAAATATATTTCGAAACGCAAAGAAATTGAAATTTGTTTACCTATTAATATTGGTAGAAGGAATTCACGATGTGACTCATTCATAAATCACGCCACATGACCACTAGGGAGTTAATGGTTAAGCGGTGTGATTTCAGTTATTTGTTTCACACTGTTGTTAACTCCAGTTTAAAGCTAGGGTGTCGACTGTAGGTGTCTTGTCCGGAATTGTTTGGCACTGTGTGTCTAAGTATCAAAGACGACGTTAAGGTTCCACATGGGGCGTTTTACCTGGATTTGGATGTTCTGCTATTCTCCCTTTCCGAGAATAATAATTATGTGCTTAGAAGTTAACTTCAGTTTATATAGTCAATTCTAATCTGTATCTCTCATCGCGCCTTTTGGTAAAAGAGGATTTCCCCAGAAATTAGTCTGGCTCCTTCTGGGCGTTTTTATTTTTTATTATGGCTTGATTCCACACTTATTTTGATATAAGTATAGAATTTTCAGCATGTGATACTAGTAGTTCAAATTTAGCAGGCCGCAACCATTGATATCAGGTGTGCATCGGCTGGGGATCGAACGCCGTACAACGTACATGGTCGGCGAGCGTCCTTACCGCTGTGCCACCGACAGACTCAGATGAAGGTATTCTGATCGCACTTACTGTGATTCCTTATGCTGCTTAAAAAATACAAGTGGAAAATAAGGCGGCACTAAATTACAAGTAACAGATGGGATTAAATTTCAACAGTTAATTGAATACGTGGAAAAGATCATTAAGGTCTTGGTTTTCTGAAAAAGCTGGTTTATCACTTGAATTCAAGTAAGGTATAATGTGATTTGGGTTTATTATCCATATGACAAAACTAATCGCATATAGTTCTGTGGTCTATGCTTCATATGCATAACTTTCGAACTGTTGCGCTAGTGCATTTTGTTTTCATCGTCAATATAAATGTGTCACTAACTTCCCGAATCTCACCGCTGCATGTAAGTAGAAAAGAGGATGACTTGTATCCAATTTGTATTCCGCTAACATAACAATGCTCTATGGTAGTCGGCAGCTTTCAATGATTCCAGGTGGATGAATTCTTCTGGGCTTACTGGTGACGGATTAGAATGCTATCTAATTGTGACGTCAGTCCTTATTGGGAAGTCTGTCTGTAATATGCATAATACGTATATTCCCGCTGATTCCCGTGTGTCTGAAAGGCATTGGTAAATTTCCCCCGTCACATAACCGACCGGTAGTTACTACTCTGAAGTGACGATTGGGCTCGCATATCTCAGTGATCTAGTGGGCTTCACTCAGGTCCCACTACGGCGACAGTTTCATTGGGACTATGGCCAGGCTGCATGTTGCCTGAGGCAAGTGTTGTTAGTGGATAGGATTGTATTGCTAATGTGTTTCCCTGAGCTACCTACTCCCTTTACACAGAAGTTAATACAAACCGTTCTTGAAATTGTTTGCCCCAACTCCATTGAAGAGTGTAATTCTTTAGAAATTTGATTTTCCACATGTACAGTGATCCTTCTGTATATGGATATGAAGTCAATCGATTAGATCATGTCCTGGCTACCTTAACCTGGGCAACTGAGTAGTATCCTAAACCTTCAATGTGTCGTTCATTCAGGTTCTGGTTCTAATATGCAACCCTTCACTTCTCCTATTTTAAGGTGTACGAGCGAGATAGTTGAATATGTTGACTACTCGTTTGGAAGTTGTTTCAGGTCTACTGGTCTGATTGTTTGGGGAATCTCAACGTTAATCCAGTAGGTTCGTAAGATTATACCACCTTCGTCATTTGTGTCACAGTAGAGCTTGTGGGTACTGCGCAGCACTAAAACTTCTCGCATTTTAGTGTTGTAGAGCTTGGGTGCATAAGGTATGATAAATAATGACCAAAGAATTTCGGCCACAATTGTCGTATTTCATTTTCACCTTATGTGCTTGGTGACAATCTTGGAAATAAAGTATTACGTAAGGTGGGGAATCCAGTCGATACGACTTTAGAGTTCCATCAGATGAAATAACTAGCACATGCGCTACGCATTCCGATCAACTATTTATCTCGATTTTAGTTTTATTTTTTTAAAATCCTATGCATTCTTACTGGAACGTAGGGATTCAAGCTTAAGCTTTGAAGTTTCAATACCAGTGGTTTCATTTTTACGGGTTGAGGTTGCTTGTCAGTTTCACACCCAACTTTCTCTCTTTATCGGGCTTATAATCAGCTAAGCGAGGTTTAGGAATGCATCGGACGGGATTCGAACCCCAGACCACATGAGTGGTTGGCGAGCATTCTATCTCTGCGCTGCCGACTCACCGAAATATGATTAGCTTGGCAATTACACACCAGTATGAGGCAACTTTGTATAGCAAAATTACTGTATCGATTTTATGACCATTAGAAAATGTCGCAGCTTTGATATGAATATACAGAGGATTATTTCTTTGAACAGGTGACTTTTCCAATAATTGAACTTGAAAATTTATAAAAATAAACTGTCGGGCTAATCGATTGAAAGTATGTTTTTGGTTCAGTCAATGAATAAGTTCTTGGTTACATTTCTGTCGACCATGCACTTAACCTAATGAAGCAATTACATTTTTCAGTCAAATAGAGTTTAACTCATGGAAAATTCCCATTGTAAGATATAGAAAATCAAAACAAGTGATTCAGCGAAGAGACTCTTTTCAACGAATTTATCATCAAGCTGTACAATCGTATATACATATGGTTTTTTAAGAAGTAATATCCGGTGAGGAAATTGAATGATACATGTGAATGCATAAAATAATAATAATAGTAGTATGAAATGCAATTAAAAACTAAAATGTTTGTGATTATAATCATAGTTAAATGTCAAGTTTCAAAAAACAAATTAATGTCATATATAGAATAATTCATAGGATGGATAGAACTTGAAAAAGGGTGTGCAATTATAGGATAAGTCGACAAGTTGAATAAAATTAAAACGTTACGTAATATTGAGTGAAGTTTGATAGCATAGAATTTAACGTTTTAAAAAAAGAGGTAGAAGTGAAGCAATAAGAAGCGCGATCATTGAACATCTGGTCGATAATAATCATTCGGTTTCTATAGCCTCCGCCTTTGGAGTCATCTACAAAGCAAAGAGTAATTTACCCAAATCACTACGTACCCGACTCATTTGTATTGTTGAAGCCATCTCTGGCTATCGAAACAGAAAAGCCAGATCTCTGTGTACAAAAAAAAGTCGTTCAACTCCTCTAACTTTTATGGTCTTAATCCCTCTGTGATAATGTATGGTAATCCCCAATCATATTTTGGCTCTATCAATTTTTCGTTTTTTCATTTTGTCTATTCAATTTGTATTCTTCCTTATTATGCCAATTGTTGCTGTTACTACTCTCATTGTGAACTGTCCCTGGTAGTATTTCACTTGTTCCACTTGTCATTCTAAATCGATTCTTTTTTACAACGTCAAATTCTATGCTATCAAATTTCACTCAATATTACGTAACGTTTTAATTTTATTCAACTTGTCGACTTATCCTATAATTGCACACCCTTTTTCAAGTTCTATCCATCCTATGAATTATTCTATATATGACATTAATTTGTTTTTTGAAACTTGACATTTAACTATGATTATAATCACAAACATTTTAGTTTTTAATTGCATTTCATACTACTATTATTATTATTTTATGCATTCACATGTATCATTCAATTTCTGATATGTATCCACATATATATATTTATGTGTGTGTGTGCATGTTGGTCTCTCTTTCTGTTTGCTCGGTTAGTCTGTGACCACTTCACTTGTATGGACTTGTCTCCTTTAATAATGTGTATTCTCCTTATATTATATTATATATAATATGAGTGTTTGTTGACAGTCCGTTGCTTGGTGACATATATCCATATATGTTTGTTGGCATGTCTGCTATATTCGCTATGTATAATTGGATCGACACTCCATTATAATTAGCCATTCATGTTAAGACTGTCTAATGATTTTTCCCACGCTTGTCTGAATTATTTATATATATTCGCATTCACAATTTGTGTGAACTACTTTACTTTACAACTACTTTACTTACTTACCACTTTGGTGTGAGACCATTTATTTTCGTCTCCTTGTGTTTGGACAATAGAAGTATCATCGCAAACCTAGTGGTCTTCTGATTTCCGCCTTCTCGCGTCAGGACTATTAGTTTCTCGACCAGTCCATAACAATAATTTAGCGACGAGTACATAACAATTTGGCGACGGGATAACAATTTGGCGACGGGGAAACTAGTACATAACAATTTGGCGACGGGGAAAACTACTATTAACCACACAGCAGCAGCAACATAACAATTTACTATGGATCATTCTAAATTGGAATTATTGTTTGAACAACAAATGAAATTAATGGAAATGTTCGTCAACCAACAGACTGGTCCAGCTTCACCTTCAAGCAATCCCAATCATACCATGCTACCATCTGTCGACGGAATTGTGAACAGCATTTCACAGTTCAATTATGACCCAGAGGCTAATGTCACTTTTGACACATGGTATCAACGTTATGAGGATTTATTCACTGTTGATCTCGCCTCACAAGACGATGCCTGGAAGGTGCGAGTGTTGTTACGTAAATTGGGTCCGGCAGAATATGAACGGTACTGCAACCTAATTTTACCACAGAAACCACGTGACAATTGTTTCGATGATACAATAAAGTTGCTGCGTGAACATTTCGGAGACCACTCCTCATTATTCAGTATACGTTATCGTTGCCTCAAGCTGGCAATGAATGAAAATGATGATTTTCTTACTCACGTTGGCACAGTCAACCGAGAATGTGAGAGATTTCGACTCAGGTCCTTAACAGATGATCAGTTCAAAGCCTTGATTCTCATATGCAGTCTCCAATCTCCTCGTTTCACAGATATCCGAACTCGACTGCTCAATCAGCTAGAACA